TGAAGTAACAAACAGAATGACAAAAGTCCCCTGGCCCTTGGAATGTCCGGAGACCCCCACCCTTGTCTCCACCCAGGAAGTGAATCACAGAATCCCCTAGCCCTTGGAATGTCTGAAACCTTTTCATCCCCATCCCCGCCCCTCACCCCCACTCCCAAGGTGGTTTTTCGGGTATAAAAATCATGGCACCCTCCTTTTGGCACCACAGGTTGGAGAGACGTGAGTCCTCTGTGGTCGCCGGCATAATAAATGACCCTGCAATCTGGCATATTTTTGTCTTGGTGATAACTTTCTACACTCGGTCCAATACAACATTTGGAGTTCCCCAGCGAGATATTCTCTGTTTGTTATCACCAGACAAAAGCCATCTCAGAGTCTCACCCAGGCGGCCACTCCCACCATGGGGGCCTCTGGAGAGGCGCCCCCTGTTCTTTCCCAGGGCCCCAGAGAGCCACCGTGGAGGATAAGCGACCTCTCGGCCGACATTCACCCGAAATTCCTCAGGGTCCTAAAAGAGAAAATCCTCCGGAGGTAAGTCTGGTCTGGGAACTAGTTCAAAGGAAGGGCCTGAGTCGGGGGACTGACGGGTCATTGCAACTCTGACCTGGCAAGCCTCACCGAGACGTCACTTGAGGCTTCTGGTAGCTGGTGCAGTGGGTACCTGGTGGCTGTCATAGTGGGTGGCAGCCCTCTGGTAGCTGGTGCAGAGGGTACCAGCGTTTGCCTCTGGTAGCTGGTGCAGAGGGTACCAGCAGTCGCCTCTGGTAGCTGGCATAGTGGGTGGCAGCATTCGGTTGTTTTCCGTAACCTCTGTGTGAGTGAGAGAGTGAGTGTGTATATATGTAGTCCCACGGCTGAAAGGCTACGGGGCTTGTGTAGGCCTTTACCCGTGGTTCCACTGGGGCGTCGTAGGGCATAACGGTGATTCACCTCAGAGCTGTCCTACTTGGACTTCCATCCTAAGGTGACCAGGCCCGGGGATTATACGGGTACACCTTAGCCAAGACGCCCCTGAAAATTCTTCCGAGAAAGTGGCCGGACAGGCATCTGACCGGTCTCCCATCTGGGGGGCACCCACCCTTTGTCTGTCACTCTTGTATGTGGTCCTGTCTCATCTGTAAATTTGTCAGTTTTATTAGACTCCTGCTAGCAGACATACACTGGTTCAGGCCATCTTCCCTTGAGGTAGGAGATATCTTACAGTGGTTGACGAACCATTGGATGCAGGGAAATTTTATGATTACACCCCAGCAAAAATTACTCTTTTCTCTTTCTTCCACATCTTCTTCTTCTATCACTGAGGCCTCACTCTTTCTTCCTTTGCCATGTGGCAGATAGTCTTAACTCTAGTTGTCTTTATTCTCTTCCTTGTTTTGGTCATTGTGGCCTGTAAATTCTCCCAGCCACCTCCACCGGGAAAAGAGTACTTTTGCCCGTGCTGGGTCAGATTCCATGTCGGGGAGGCCGTTGTGCCCTCGACACCTTGGAGGTAGTTTCTTTGGAGCTTATGAACCCTAGATCAGAGTTTAACAGTGCTCTTTCTCAGGCTGGGATGGAAAATAGGTAACTGCCTATTCTGTCAGGAAAGTGTCCAATGTTATGGGCAGTGCCCAACGGTGCATCACAGAAAGGCCTATTGGCACTACCCTGGATGTTGGGAGGTAGGATGTCACCGCCCCAGTAAAAACTGACTGGCAGCACTTCTGCACACTCTACCGGGTGTGGTGGGTCCAAAACACACATCCGGTAGACCTCTTAGTCCACCTGTTTGTCACTTCCAGACCTTTCCAAAGCAACTGGCCAGTAAAAATATATAAGGGGGAGGATTATGCCCGGGCAGCGCTAAACCTCCATAGTGCTTATTCTCGCCAGTTGTGGTTTGCGGGGGAAAAAAGACCGCCGCCTTACCTTGGCCCCTACCCCCTGTTCCTCTGACTAGGAATAAACTCTAAAATCCAGTTGTCTGGTCCTTAAAGGACCTGGCTGCAGAGGCCCTGCTAAAACCTGCTTTAAAGAGGGCCAAATTTTAAATTTGAGGCTTTCCAAAATTGGCTTTACTACAGAAAGAGAGGAAAGAGAAAGAAAGGAGAGAAAGGAGACAGGAGAGAGAAAGTAGATAGAGGAGAGACAAAAGAGAAAGAGAGAAAGTAGAAAGTAGACAGAGGAGAGAGAGAGAGAAGGGGACCAGAAGCCGCAGGGGCGGAAAACTTGCCGCCAGCAAGTTCAGTTTTAAACTGACACTAAGAGCGTTTTTTTCCTTTCTCTGCCGGCAGTCAGCCCCTCCCAGCTTTGAGGCAGGCCACACTGCCTCAGGGTGCAGCATTTGCATCCAGAATCTGGCTTTAAGAAAAGCTTTCTAACTTTCTGTAACAAAAGTGACTTGTTAGTGCAGTCGTTAAGGTGTGGGGCCTGCAACTGCAAGGTTGTTGGTTCAAATCCTCGGTGAAGCTAATTTTAAATTAGGGAAATCAGTTTTAAATTAGTGAATTCTCTTGAGGAAAATTTGGCATAAAAAAACAAAAAAAACCCACAAATGGGGTCGTCTAGCTTCCTGCCTTGTAACCCCCTCCAATGTATGACTGCCAACTTCAAGGTTGGGTTCTCAGGCCAATATGGGGTGAAATTAACCCCTGGAAAACTCCGCTCTTTGTGTGAACTTGAATGGCCGTCTTTTGGAATTAGGTGGCCAAATACTGGGACCTATGACTCAAAAAATTATCCAGGCTGTATGGAAAATGGTTGCAAAAACTCCTGGATACCCTGAGCAGTTTCCATACATCGACCAATGGTTGGGTTTAGTCCAATGGTCTCCCCCATGGCTAAAGTGCTGCATAAAACAGGCTAGACTTCAGGTCACGTTAGCCAGCCCAAAAGAAAGTCCCTTCTGAGCCAACCATTCTCCCCACCCCAGCGGAGGATCAGGAATTACTTCCACCCTACTCAAGGCCCTCTAAACCAGCGCCTCAGCACCCCCCTCAACAGTACTAGTAACCAAACCTTGTCCCCCCTGCACACCCGTAGCGGGGCCCCCGCACCCACCGGCAGTCCTCCCTTTCCAAGACGCACCCCCAACAGAAGACAATTGGGGTCGCCCATTCTTTGTTCACATCCCCTTCTTGTCAAGTAACTTATATAACTGGAAGGTGATTAGAGATCAAAAAGAGGGCCAAAACACCAAGTGCGGGCACGAGCTTTAAGGGCAAGGGAAAGCTGCCAGGCTAAACCCAAAATTGGCAGCACCCATGGCATGG